TAACGTCAGTTTTTAAGAAGATATAACAAAAATAAACAAAAAAATAAATTTCAAAGAAGTTCAGTATTTAATTGATTATATACCGCTGACACTTAATCACGCTTTTCGAAACCACGCCAGTTGTAAACAATACTTGTGTGAAAAGACAAAATCTTCTTTTCAAATTTCCGCCGAGTTGTAAGTAGAAGGCCAAATAGGTCATGTGTCAATTTTAATTAAATATATTTTATACAAAGTGATCTTGACTACGTTTTATCAATTAACCATTGGTAAAAATTAAAACAGGAATTTGACAATTGTGTTTACAAAAAACATTATTAGTCGAACCTTGCAGCTTGTTCATTATTTTTACTATAAATACCTATCAATGTATATATTATTAATAAATCATTCCTATAATATTTTGGATTATTTTTTATTTTGCCCTATCTGCAATGTTCTACGCTCTATAGAAAATGTGGCGTATGACAGACTGACAATCTTTCGAACGTTTTATCTAGGTACAAAGATGTTTTACGTTTTCGTCGCCTCCACATGATATTTTTGTCAGCATAAGGTACCCTTCTATATCTGAAACGAATATAAATATTGCTACAAAGTAAAGTAACAGGCTATACAAGTATACTGGGCACAAGACTCTTTTTTTATTTCTGAGAGGGTTTTAGGGCAAGGAAATGCCCGCCGTGCTTCCCCAATGCGTGTTGACGAAAATTGCAATTACAAATTTCATTCGTGCTGTCGGGGATCAAACCCGGGAAAATTTACAGCGAACGCTTTGACCCAGATCTACTAATACGATACAAATAAATACGATTTAACATATAAAATAAAAAACTCTTACGTACTTCAAACTTGACCACTTGATAGCTCGTGACGCCTACCGGACAAAGCTACAGCACAATGTAATTGAAGATTCGTAACCGCGAGATAATTCTCAGTGATGCGCAAGCATAACAGGCAGTATGTCACTTATATAATTGTCATCTCTGCATTCTATTAATCTTTGCACTTTTATAAGTAACACAGAACGTAGTTGCTAGACGGTGTTGACGTCGGCCAAAATCTCTGCGATCGCCGTTTCGTCAAGGTCATTCAGGCTAGTTAAAGCCTTTATTCTCTCCTAAAACACTGCTTAACCGTGGTATTCATAATATTATTCATAATTCCATATCAAATCTACCAAATGTGGAGGGAAATTTAAAATTGGAACTTTTCGTATTTTTGATTGAAAATAATCGTATTTTCAAAATAAATTATAACTCACTAATATTTTACAAAAAAAAAACCACGTTTTTCACAAATCGTGTAACTTCTGATGGACTTCACCGATCGAGGTCATTTCCACAAAATATAATGAAAATGAAAAATTGTTTATTTCTTTAAAAAGATCATACATTATATAGGTATGGGAGTAAGTGGAACATCCTTTTAAGTAAATATATATTTGTGGCAGGATGCCCCGCTCTTCTATAGCAAGAATTAAATAAACACAAAATAGATTAATTAAAGAAATACAAGAAACTAAGCTTATATTTATATAATGAGGGTTTTATATAAGTGTGCGAGTTTATGCGAGTGTGAGTTAATGGGTGCGTGCGCTCACTCGCGCGATTGTGTGTGTGTGTGTGTGTGCGTGTGTGTTTGTATGTGTGTTTGCGTGTGTATATGTACACATGTGTGTGTTTGTCTGCGTATGTAAAATTTATTTAATAACTTTTAGTACTGCCTCGACTTCATCATACTATAGTTTTAGTAGCCATTCTTTCCAGTCTTTTTGAACTCATTAGAGTTCAGAGAATAAATGTTTAGTTTTTTGTTGACTACATTGTATAAATAACCAGCCTGGCTTTTAAATTGGTGAATAGCAAAATTTGTTTTGACTAGAGTTAATTCAAAAGCTTTCCTCGTCGATTACTATTTTTGCAGTCGTAGAAAGTTGTTTTATGTTTTGTTAACAACAAATTTATAATGTATAACTTTCTAACACTTACTTATAGTAAATCACTAACTGAGTAAAGTTCTTCTGTAGGGAATCTATATGATTTATTGTACATGACCTTTATTAATGATCGTTGACCACGTTCTAGTTGTAGGAGTTTAGTTTTCGTAGTACCACCCCAAACTGATATACAATATGTTAAAATCGATTGGGCTAGTGCAGCATATATTTGATTTAGTAATTTATGAGTTGCGACATGTCTGAGGTTCTTAAAGATCCAAATAAGTTTTCGTAATCTATTATTAGTTGCTTCTATATGTGAATGCCATGTAAGTGTTTGGTCTATTATAACACCCAAATATTTAGTGCTAGCTACTTTTTCTATAGTAGGACACGTGCAATTGTTACGCAAACCACAGTTGTGTATTTTGAGATTGTGTGTTATGTGTGTGATTATGGGTTGTGACCGTTTGTTAATGGAAAAACATATATATTTAGTCTTAGACGTGTATAGGGTAAGCAAGTTTATTTCGAGCCAGTTCGCAACTTTGGACAGTCCAAATTCGGCTGTGTCGTAGACTTCATCCCACGATTTACCCGTGAATACGATAGCAGTATCGTCCGCATATGAATAAATCTTACCATTGTCAAGTTTTAATCTACAGAGCTCATTAATATAAATGAGAAATAAGGTAGGGCCTAGTACACTGCCTTGAGGCACCCCAAAGGTTATTTGAAGATCATTACTGACATAATTGCCTATTCTAGTGCTTTGCGTTCTGTTTCTTAAATAATCTCTTATAAATTCTAGTTGGGCTTCCCTTATACCGATCTTTTCCAACTTCCTAACAAGCATGGGAACAGAGACGGTGTCAAATGTCTTTTTTAAGTCCAAAAATATAGCAAGACATTTTTTATTTTGGTCAAGTTGATCAACAATATATGTAGTTAGATCTATGACAGCGTTCTGTGTTTTTTCCTCTTCTAAATCCATATTGTGTTTGCGATAGAATATTATATTTATCTAAATACCGTATTAATCTGTTATTAATTAATTTTTCTAAGATTTTGGAAAAAACTGGTAAGATGGAAATTGGCCTATAATTATTTATACCATCTCTGCTCCTTGAAAGATCATGAAATGGAATAATAACAATTTGGCAGGAACGATACAACGTATCGGAAACTGGACCCGTCACAAGAAAATTCTTCCCTAGAGTACAAGAAGCATACAGAATACTGGGGAAAATAAAAATAAATAATTTAAGGGCGCAAGTATTCACAGGCCACGGGGTTTTCATGGCTTATTTAAATAGATTTAAGTTGGAACGAAACCCATATTGCAATTGTGACGACAAAACTCCACAAACTGTAGAACACATAATTATAGAGTGTCCAGGATTTGCATCAAAACGGTTAGCCTATGAGAGCCGTATAGGCTTCGTGCTACAGGGAAGTACATTAAGTAAAGCGATTAACGACAATGATGACCGAACCTACTTTCTTCCATTCGCTAAGCACTGCGTGCTCTGAGTGCTGAAGGAAAATGGTTCCATAGAATATATATAGTCACTAAAGTAATGTAAAATGAAGGGCAGCATAAAGTGGTGAAACAAATATGTAATAGGAAATAAGTGTTTAATATTCCTAAAACATAGCAAAAGCATAATTTGAAAAAAAAAACAACGACAGATATAAAAAGGAGAAAAAGATATGTTGAATTAAAGGGTGCTGTAAAATAAATAACAGCAGATGAACTAAGTAAAATAAAAAAAAATCATATAGAAATAAATTAAAGAAGAGGTTAAAATTACTTTAATATATAAAAACATGGCGTTAATTTATGAAAACATAAAGAGGGACGACAGTTCGTTTGCCGTGTATTAGCAACTTAAATGAATCCATCACTACTTCGTCCCGTGAGAAAAAGTGAATGTCTAAAAAAAATCTAATGTCTTTCGATATATGGCGCTATCATTAAATCGGTAACGTCAGAGACAGGCATAAATACCCAGACTGGCTACGGACAGCAACGTCAAAGGTGCGAGACGTCTTGTATTGCGATCGTCAATCTGTCTGCCAACCCTGACAATTATAGCAAATATTAAACAAACCTACAGCGGGAAAAGTCTATGTCTTGCAGTAGACTTTTAAGGGCTGATGATAAAAGAGAAGATTTTTTTTGACATTTTTGTGACATAAGTGTGGCAACAAGCTAATAATTTTGTGCATACATACTTGTATGACTGCATCGTTGATCTACTGAACGTAAGCGCGACCGTCGATCATTTTACGTGGTAGAGCCATGCTGCAGCTATATTTATAGTATAGTTGTAGCACGAATGGGTCGGCTCGACCGAAGAAGGACCACGCTCTCACAGAATACCAGCGTAAAATAGCAGCTTAACACTGCTGTGTTTCGTATGGGGAGTTTAGAGGACCGATACCCATTTTACTGGAAGAGAGGCATTCTATCTTAGTCCTCACGGCTGACAACGCATCTGCATTTTAATTCGCAAACGAAGATAGATGTAGATGTCTATGGGCCACAGCAACCACTTACCATCAAATGGACCGTGTGCTCGTTTGTCAGCCTTATTCTATAAAAAAATGTGGTCCTGGGATCTAATCACGGGTCGGGTGAAGTTAATTTTTTTTCGTTAACAAAAAAAACGTAAAGCCGTTGGTCTTGTTCCGAATCTCTCTCCGTTCGTGTCGAATTGCCGTCCCATCAGACTTATAGGGGGATTAGAGATTGCGCCCTGTGCTTGCGGTCTCACTTGTGCACTATAATCGTGTCCTGCGCAGATGGATAGTTCTTGTTCAGAGGCTGCCACGATCGAAATTCAATCTGGAGGATATTATTATTAGTCGTATGTGTATGATAGATTATAATTAACACAATTACATTTATTATGAAAATAATAATGTAGTTTATAGCTTACAGATAAATGATGTTCAAAGTCTAAGTTTAGCTTTTAGGGAGCATGATGGCTTTACTAGGGCCACATAAATATCCACAGGTATGATGTATTCCAATTAAAACTTTGACGTAACTCACGTTGTTAGTGTCTCCAGCGAAGATGTGTAGATGACGCCCCCTACATCGATGTGCACGGGGGCCTTGAAAGGTGATGTGACCGCAACGCGAGGCATGTAAGTGAAAGGTTTCTTCTCATAAGGATTACCGTTGGAAGCTCCTGGCTGTACTGGCTGCATGCTCGAACTATAACAAATTTAAACAGATTCAATTCGTCAATTTCGCAACAGTATCATAAATGACAACCTACAGGGAAGAAAGGTTCTTGAGTGGCAATCTCGCATCGGTACGCGAAGTGTAGGGCGGCCCCCAACTGATGGAGTGACGACCTGGTAAGATATGCAGAAAGCCGATGGATGCAGGTGACTCAGGGCCATGCTTTATGACGTTCCTTGAGGGAGGCTAATATTCAGCAGTGGACTCGTAAAGAGATGTAGTGATGATGAAGATGATGATTATTATCATTGTTGCTATCACCTACAACTTGGATTTGATTAAATGAAGTTTCAAGGATACTTCTGCACTATTTATTATCATCATTCGTCTAAAGTCAACTGCCAAACATAGGTTTAGGCGCTTAACTTGAGCTTGAGAAGCAACACTCTTTTAATCCTTCACTAGCTTAGTTCATTAGCTTAGGCTATTGTTTATAATTTCTTAATATTGGCAATTTTAATATTTTAATTTATTCGTATGAAAATTTGAATGTTAACCGAGTACATATATATAATGCAACTAAGTAAATGAAATGCTGATTTTGATAAATGCTGGAGATTGCTGTCCAAAGATATACGATCATTTTATATAAACTAACATTAAAACATGAAATAATAGAATAGAATGATTATTTATTGATGTTTAAATTGCAATTGTGTGATATAGTAAAATAAAGAAATGAGATTTAATTGTGAACCGTGTACGGCAAAATAAAAAAAACTGCTCTTTTTTTTATTTTGCCATCAACATCTAAGACAGATCTATGTTGGGAGCAAACTTCATGAAGGATATTTATTATTCTAATGACAGAATTACAAACTTTTGGGATGGGAATTAAATTGAATTCCCAACCAAGCTTCCCAATTTTTGATGAGTGGTTGATCAATTCCGGCCGTTTTATTTTTCAAATTCTTGCTTGAGTCCCAGTAGTTGTTGGCAGTATAAATCCAAATCGATGATTTTTGCCCGGCGGTAAAAGTTCATAATAAACGATGCCCTACCAATCCCCCATACACACAGCATCACCTTATTGCGTGTTAATCCGGGTTTCGCTACAGTCTGCGGAGGTTGACCACTTTCTGACCTGTTCTTGTCATAGATGATCCAATTTTCATCGTTCGTACGTTTCAGTAGAGAATCGCAAATGAGTACACGATTTTTTAGGTTTCTTTAAGTGAGCTCGTGTGGTACCCAAATATCGAGCTTTTTTGTATAGCCAGACTTTTTCAAATGGGTTAAAAATGTTTGTAGTCAATTCTCAATTCCTCGACTATGTCGTAACTGCTATTATGCCGAACTTGCTCCACTTTTTCAAAAATGGCATGGATTTTATCTATATGACCAGAGTGAGCTGCATCTTTGACATCAAAATTCCCGGACTGAAAACGCTTGAGCCAACTTTGTGTTACTCTTACTGACATTGCATTATTATTATTAATATGTATTTTGTTGTTTTTTTTTTCTATTACATACAATATTAAAAAAAAAACTATAATAAAAACAAATCTAAAACTAATAACTTACGTAGGCGGTCCCATAATGAATTGGCCTAACTATGAACCAATGAAGGAAATGAAACGAAACCAATTTTATTTTTCAATATAATCACCATGAATACTAACACACTTCTGACATCTGTGAATCAACATCTCTAAACCTTTATAAAAATAATCACATTTTTTATCCTCAAAATGACTGAAGACGGCCGCCTGCAATTCTTCATCGCTTGAAAATTTTCTTCCTCTTAAGTCCCGCTTTAAATTTGGAAATAAATAATAGTCGGACGGGGCCATGTCTGGACTGTAAGGTGGATGTTGAACTTCTGTGAACCCGCATTGACGAACTGCATCCTTCGAAACACCAGCGGTATGAACAGGGGCGTTGTCATGGAGCAACAGGACAACTTTAGACAGCTTGCCTCTTCGTTTTTCCTTTATCTTGTCTCGTAATTTATATATTAAAGAAGCATAATATTCGCCGTTCACGACTGTATTACGTTCTTTAAAATCCACCATCAAAATGCCTTGAAAATCCCAAAATATTGTGCACATAATTTTTTTAGTCGATTGTTGCACCTTTGCCTTTCTAGGGGGCTTTTCACCCTTATAACGCCATTCCATTGACTCGCGCTTGCTTTGTGGATCATAATACAAGATCATAGTTTCATCACCAGTCACTAGCCGCTCGATCACAGTCTTTGGATTTTCGCCACAAAGATCCGAAAACTCCGAAGCGCAGAGCACTCTTTCCTGTCTGTACCGCTGAAAGAAGTTTCGGTACCCATCTTGCACTCACTTTTTTCATGTGAAGATGTTCATGGATCGCGCGATGAACGGTACTCTTAGAGAGCCCAAGCCTTGCTGCAATTTCTCTAATCTTCAAACGGCGGTCACTCAGAACCTCCTCTTCGATAAGAGCAATCGTTTCAGGAGTGAGCACTTCCACAGGTCGACCGTCGTGGCCAAAGTCTTTGACGGTTTCTCTTCCGAGGCGAAACTCTTTCACCCAATTTTTCACTGTGCTATAGGAGGGGGCAGACTCCTTATACACGCCATCCAATCGTTCTTTTATTTGGGCAGGGGATAAACCTTTTTTAAACAGAAACTTTATGACACTTCGATACTCAGTTTTCGACATTTTGAAAAAATACGCGACTCTCGTTATTCAAATGCCTGTTAAACTAAGACTAAGCATTTCATGTCGATGCATGTTTCTTATATTAAGTGCACGATAAACGTACTATTTAATGCAACACAACATGTAGCGACATGTCGCGTTGAACTATATCAGGCCAGTTCATTATGGGACCGCCTGGTAATTATCATACACTCTTTCTCCCCGTCGTATCATGCCAAGAACGCTGACAGCGTTTCCTCGCTGAATGGATATACTTAGCCTTTGAGCGAGAAAGGACCAGCCCTCTTATCACCAGCAGCAACGAACAGTCGCGGGTAGCGTTTTTTTTGTTGAGATACTCATTTATAAAGTAAAAGCAATTTATTATGTATGATTTCTAATTTTGCCATTGGGAGATTTCTTGAACTCGTCAGGTAAAGCATTATATAATTTAATCGCCATTATGTATGAATTCCTCTGAAAGAACATCAATTTACCTTTTGGAAGATATATTCTGCTGACAGATTTATTTCTTTTTTATCTTTTATTTCTTTTTCGAGATATACGTTTATTTCGAAAAGCAGAATTACTTGCAAAATGCAGATGCTTGTCATCCCTGAGGATTAAGACGAAATGCCTCATTTCCAGTAGAAGATTCTCCAGTTCTCTACACTCATTACAGCATTATATTTTATATTACAGCATTAAGATGCTATTTCACGCTGGTATTCTGTGAGACCGTGTTGCTTACCCAATCGAGCCGACCCATTCGTGCTACAACAATATTAAAGCTGTAGCGTTGCTTTAGATTTGGATTCAGCATTTCTAATAAATATTCCGCCATTTATCGATCGTCATGACGTTGATCTCATGCAACAAAGTGTCGCGTGTAGGTGAGGCTGGCATTTTGAATCATGTTAGTGTCGTAAATATATAAGATAATATGTTCCATTCGATAGTAAAAAGTATATAGTTAAAATAATAAAGAAGTATCTCAGTATTGGACAAAACAAACGCTAGGACATAATGTTTTACTAAGTGTTCGAAGCCTGTTTGTCTCTACGCCTGTATTTATCAGAATGCAAACATGTGCCAAGTTACACTAAACATGTACAGCGATGTAACGGAGACGTGATAACGGTTGCGTGGGAGCATTCCATGCCCTACTGCCATCAGCATCGCTCCCACGGCATTTTTCTTAACACTTTTCCATATAGTCCTCCATGAAATATAGAAAACATTGAGTTATAATGTACTAAGTACATTATAACTCAATGATAGAAAATCTATTTTTTAGATACAATTAAACTTTTATTTAAGAATAACACAAAACCAAAAAGAAAAAAGTTTTAACACCGGTTTTTACTTTTATTTGAAGTTTTTCCCTTTTGTGTGGACTAAGGAACATTATTAATTTTTCTTTAATAAAAAAACGTTACTACCACAGTAGGATTTTCTCCTGTATCGTGGAGGCAGTTTACAAACATAAATTGCACGAGGACAAACATCCAAACCCGGAACAATTATTTGTAGGCCATACAAATACTTGTTCCGTGCGGGATTCGAACCCGCGGCCCCCAGCGCAACAGCTCATTGCTAAGCCACTGCGCCACGGAGCCGTCATTACTTATAATGGCGGCTACATTCGTAACAACTAGATTGTTGTCTTAATTGTCATGTTAAAAACTTCTCTCACTATTTTTCCAGCTTCCGCCCCTGAATTATAGCCCTAAATTAGGCTGCCTAATAACTAAAAAGGTATCATATAATTCGCATCAAGCAATTTCAACTTACGCGTCGAATATGAAACCTCCTCATTATTTGAATACCGTTAAAATATAATCTAGTTGTAAAACTGGTTAACAGAAACCTTTTGTACATAATCAGTTCATTCTTTCTAAATTTTTTATTTTTGACGCAAGTAATTTAAACGCAGACATTTTACAAAGCTTGTGAGATGCCATTAATTTAGCAAACAACAGTATATTAAAGTTATATTATCATCATCATGCTACTTTACAATGGTAGTCTTTGAGCGGGTGGTCCTTCTCCGGTTGGGTTTTTTTTATAGGATAAGGGTGACAAACGAGCACACAGTCCACTGATGGTAAGTGGTTGCTGCGGCCCATAGACATCTATCCTCTATTACAAATCAAAATGCAGATGCGTTGTCACCCGTAAGGACTAAGATGGAATGCCTCATTTCCAGTATAAAGGGCCTCCGGCCACCTGCACTCACCAAGCGAAACGCAGAGGTTAACCTCTACTACACGCTGGTATTCTGTGAGGTCGTGGTACTACCCCGGTTCGAGCCGGCCCATCCGTACGACACCAAAAGCTGCCGCGT